GACATCTCTCTATTCTCTGAACAGACCCTGTTCCATCCCACTCCAGGCCTTTGCACACTCCCTCACCAAGAACATTCTTCCTTCCCCTCCCCTTTTTGGATCTCAACTCAGTCATCACCTCCTCACGGAAGCCTCCCAAGACCTCCCAGACCAGACCAACTCCTCCCCCATTACATGCTCCCATGGGACTATGTACTTCTCCAGTGTTGCAGCTGCAGTTTCACATGTTTTATGTAATTACTGGGTTCCTCCTCTTCAGTGCCGCCCCACACAGTGCTCCACTAGTTTCATGAGCAACCACCAGATCTTTTGCTCACCATCCTATCCCTGCTATTCAACCCAGTATTTGGACTGTAAGAAGCTATCAATAAATATTGAATGCATGAATAAATGAATGAATGAATGGATGAATGAATCTGCCCCATTTCTAGCTTGCTTTGTGACTTTGGAAAAGTTACTTCACCTCTCAGTGCCTGAATACTTTACCTGGGAACCTGCTTCAATGGGCTGCAGAGATGGTGGAGCCAGGCAGGGAGAGATGCTGACAGGTAAAGCGTGACACGGGAATCTGTGCGGGGGAGAGTGGGGGTGGGGGAGGTTGAGAGATATCCTTAGCAGTGCTCACAGTGGGCCTGTGAGATCTAGCAGAAGAAAACCACAGGGCAGCAGAGAGAAACCAGAATGGAATCAGGAAAACCCAGTGTCTGGCCACTGTCCCCAACTCCCTGCGTGACCTCAGGCCAGTCCCTGCCTCGTCTCAGTCTCCGTCTTCCCATGGCCAGGCTGTTTGGCCTCCATGCTGTCCCAAGCTTGTTGTGTTTGTGCTCTGGCCTGAGAACCAGTCTCAGTTCTTTAGAAGCAACAAGAGCCCCAGCTTCACCACCCGAGACAGATCCTACGGCCAGGTGTGCTCGGCCAGGGCCCAGGCCCGGGTGCTTCCCTGACTGGCCTGTGCCTGGCTGAAGGCACTGGGGCCTGAGCAATGTTCAGCACTTGCCTCCCAGCCTGGCACAGAGAGACCTGCCAGTCAGATCACAGCAGGGACCAGGAAGGCAGTGGCCCTGACAGGTGGGGATGCCCCAGTGGGCAGGGTGTGAGGAAGGGGCCAGCCAGGAGATGGCCCGTGGGGTTCTGACTGTTGGCCAAAGGCTGATGGCGGAGCTGCCAGTTGGCAGCTGCTTCTCTGGCTGCTTGCTGCCCGCAGCTACTGAGCAGGGTCAATAGCCAGCACTGAGAGCGAGAGGGCTGTTCCCTCTGCGTATATGGAGCAGGCTTGGCGCAGGTCCCGGTGGGAGGGGCAGGGAACGGACCAAGGCCATTTAGTTATACTCAGAGCTGCTTTGGTTTTCTTGGATAAGCCTAAGAGCCCCAGACTGAGACTGACCTTGGTCACACCCTGAGTCCTGACTGTGATCATGGTTTGAGCTCTGGCCACAGAACTGAGATTGACCTTGGTTACACAGTGAGCCCTGACTCTGGTCACAGACTGAGCCCTGATCCTGACCACAGACTCAGCCCTGACCCTGGTGATTAATTGAAGAAGGTATCAAAAGTGGGACAATTGTCTAAGGCCCTGGTAAGAGAGGAAGAGGGAAGATTAAAGAATGTCATATTTTTCAAGTGCTTACCATACACCTGGCAAATGTG